GCCTTTTGTTTTGAAGGTTTTGGCAAACTACGCAAAGGGAGAGTGTCGCTATTTGAAAGCAAACTACTCATGATGGGAGGAGTCTGTGTAGCTTACCGGCGTGTGCAAAAAGAAAGGCAATCAAAATTTCATTGTGTGCTAGTTTCCCAAACACAGACATCATATTGAAACACCATCGTGATTATGCATTGTAGCATTCTCTGTATATTCCAATTGGTACAGTAAGTGCTTGGGCTACAAATGGTGAGTCGACAAACTGGAAGGAGTGTTGTCCCAACAGCTCTGGTCCTCACAAGTTCCTACCTCACGCTTCCACGGGTCAGCCGATGACAAAGACCGCCAGCAAAAGATGCTGGTAGCGTAGCCTGGGCAATGTCACCACGATAAAAACATGGATCCGGATCGTGGTGATAGCAAAGTGAGGAGGTGCGACCCTCGAGCGTCTGTTCACCATGGAGGTGCGGCTCAAACAGCGTCTGTCTCGGAGCGAGCGGCTGAATAAGAAATACTGTATCACGTCAGCTACACCTAAGGTGGCAGCCCCACCAACATAATGTAGGTATCGCGACCCCGGTAAGGTAGCATACTGAAACCCCCAACATTACTCAGAAAAACGAAGAAAGAGAAAACAACGAACGGAATTTTCGGCAACCGACCCGGCAACGAAATAAGGACAATGAATGGAAACTCGGTACTTGGAATGTCAGAACCTTAAATGAACCTGGACGAGCGGGCCTTTTGGCTCGTGAACTGCAAAAAGTGAATGTGAGCGTAGCTGCTATTCAGGAAGTACGGTGGCCTAGATCCGGAGAACGTGAATTCCGGGCGGTGGATCCCATCGCCAACACTTCCTTCAAGTATCATATCTATCACAGCGGTGGCGATAGGGCAGAACATGGAGTAGGGTTCATAGTGATCGGGAAGCAGATGAAGCGTGTTATGCGGTGGAGACCGGTAAGCGACCGCATCTGTGTATTAAGGATTCGGGGCAAATTCTTCAACTACAACCTGATCAACATCTATGCGCCAACCAACGATAAATCCGATGACGTGAAGGACGCGTTTTATGACAGTCTCGATAAAACTTATGATGAGTGCCCAAAACACGACGTGAAGATTGTAATCGGAGATGCAAATGCGCAGGTCGGGAGGGAAGATTTCTTTCGTCCAATCATTGGTACAGAGAGCCTACATACAGTAACCAATGATAATGGCCTGAAACTGATAAACTTCGCCGCTGCTAGAGGTATGGCCATCAGTAGCACCTACTTTGCACGCAAGAATATCCGAAAGCACACCTGGAGACACCCAAATGGCGAAACTTGCACCCAGATCGATCACATGTTGGTGGATGGCCGGCACTTCTCAGATGTCATTGATGTAAGGACTTTTAGGGGGCCTAACATTGACTCAGATCATTATCTTGTTGTCTGCACAATTCGGGCGCGTCTATCGACCGTTACGAATTCAACGAACCGGAGATCGATGCGTTTCAATATCCATCGCTTGTCAGTAGAAGGTGTTGCTGCAGAGTACCGCCAGAAGCTTGATGAGCGGATTAGCGAAATCAACGTGAACGAGGACCTCAACAATCTGTGGAACACAATCCACGGAGCGGTGAACACAACAGCACAAGAAGTGATAGGTACAGCTTAAAGACGACCACGTAATGGCTGGTTTGGAGAGGAGTGCCAGAGGTTGACGGATGAGAAGAACGTTGCCAGAAGCCGGATGTTAGTGTCTGGTACCCGGCTGAACAGAGAGCGGTACAAGGTAGCAAGGGCAGCTGAGAAACGAACCCACCGCAGAAAGAAAAGGCAATACGAAGAACGCGTGATTGCTGAGGCGCAAGAAAGTATGGAACAGAACGATATGCGAAGGTTCTACGCGACTGTCAATGGTGTGCGGAGTAAAACAGCGCCATCTCCCGCCGAATTTGCTGACAGATAAAACAATGGTGGCTGCCAGGTGGAAAGAACATTTTGAGACATTGTTGAATGGAGAGAGTGAGGGAGTATCGAGGAACAGAGTAAACATCGCAGACGACGATCAAGCTGTGGAGCCTCCAACGCTAGACGAGGTTAAAAAGGCAATACGTGAGCTGAAAAACAATAAGGCTGCTGGGAAGGACGAGCTCCCGGCCGAACTTTTCAAACACGGAAGTGAGCAGCTGCATAAAGCAATCCACCAAGATATGGGAGGACGAAGAACTGCCTGCTAGCTGGTTGGATGGCCTCATTTGCCCATTATTCAAAAAAGGGCACAGACTCGAGTGCGCCAATTATCGAGGAATAACTCTTCTGAATTCGGCGTACAAAATACTGTCACGCGTTCTGTTTAACAGATTGAGACCGCTTGAGGAGTCCTTCGTCGGTGAATACCAGGCTGGTTTTCGTGAGGGCCGATCAACGACGGATCAAATGTTTACCCTGCGTCAAATCCTTGATAAATTCCGGGAGTACAACTTGCAGACTCACCATCTGTTTATTGATTTCAAAGCAGCATACGATTCAGTGAAGAGAAATGAGCTTTGGCAGATTATGCTAGAACATGGTTTTCCGGCGAAACTAATTAGACTGATTCGCGCAACGCTAGATGGATCGAAATCAAGTGTAAGGGTTGCAGATGAGATTTCGACCTCGTTCGTGACCTTAGATGGATTGAAGCAGGGTGATGCACTTTCAAACTTACTGTTCAACATTGCTCTTGAAGGAGCGATTAGGAGAGGTGGTGTGCAGAGGAACGGTACCATCATCACACGATCGTACATGCTCCTTGCCTTTGCGGACGACATCGATATCATCGGAATTGACCGTAGAGCAGTGGAAGAGGCGTTTGTGCCTTTTAAGAGGGAGACGGCGAGGATTGGGCTCACGATAAGTTCTACCAAAACGAAGTACATGGTAGCCGGTAGACAGCGTGGGAGCAATAGTGGTGTTGGTAGTGTAGTGTTGTTAGATGGTGAACAATTTGAGGTAGTGGAAGAATTTGTGTATCTTGGAACACTAGTGACATGCGATAATGATGTTACCCACGAGGTGAAGAGACGTATTGCAGCTGCAAACAGGGCCTTTTACGGATTACGTAGCCAGCTGAAGTCCCGTAGCCTGCAAACGAAAACGAAATTCGCTCTGTATAAGACGCTGATACTTCCGGTAGCCCTCTACGGCCACGAATCGTGGACGTTAAAAGAGTCTGACCGGAGAGCATTTGGTGTCTTCGAGCGTAAGGTGCTGCGAACAATACTCGGCGGTAAACAGGAGAATGGCATCTGGCGGCGTCGCATGAATCACGAGTTGTACCAAGTGTATAACGGTACGGATATAGTGAAGCTTATAAAACACGGCAGACTACGGTGGGCTGGGCATGTAGTGCGGATGCCGGAAGAACGACAAGCAAATATTATATTCAGCAGAGAACGCGGTAGAGGTCGTCGACTCCGGGGTAGACCTCGGACACGTTGGCTATTTGCAGTTGAGGAAGACATCAGGTCGCTAAACGTTCATGGCGACTGGAAGCGATTGGCTCAGGACCGAGTCCAATGGAGAAGAGTACTTCGTTCGGCGTTGAATCAACCTGGCGATTCGTAGCCCATCAAGTATCAAGTAAGTACAGTAAGTGCTTCAGTGTTTACACTCCGCATTGGATAGAGTCCATATTCGAAGTGAAACAAGTGTTCATTGAGAAATTCTGTAAAAATCTTCAAAATGTCTCAACACATGGCTGTTAAATATCTTCGCGATTATCGGAAGCGCGTGAAAGACCAGGAGGCAGGGAAACCTGCGAAATAGACGCGGGCCGTTGCTGAACGCGTTTGATTGTGTGTCGAGCCAACAATAAAGCAGCCAAAGGTAATCCGAATTTAAGGATTTATTCAATAACCGCCCAATTTCAAAAATTTGAATAATGATTTGTTCATTTTGGAGTTCATTTTCTAAACCATTTATTTTGTTATTAATATATTAGTGAATGGAACATCAACAACAATCTCGTAGTTTTACGTCAACAATACGGTCGTGCTTTGGACACAACCCTTAACTTTTTTAGATTTTATTTAACAACCAAATTATTGTCAGTTGCTTATGGTAATTAAATGGCTTCTAGGAACTGTGTGTTTCTTCTTACTTACACTAATTTGCTACTACTAGGGTTTTAAGATCTAATGTCTGTCGTACTAAGCACAACCCGCAATTTTACCTCTCTTGTTCGAACTTACATTTTTTTTTTATCAAAGCTGACTTCTAAATTTATTTATCTTTTATTACGTATCGTTGTATTTGATAGAGATTCACCAATTTTTGAGATACTGTTATATTGAAATTTTTCCAAATAATGCCCTTGGATTGTTTTTTTTTTCCATGATCTCTTGTATTGTATTTAAAAATTCCCTCAAATATCCTTTGGAGTTCTTCGAACTTCAACTTCAATGAGCTAAATTTTTTTTAAATTTAGGTCATTTATGTATTAAATTTGTATTCATTGTTAATTCCACAAAAATCCATCCACTACGAAAGAAGTTTAAAATTGAGATTTTAAATTAAATTGCTCAAACTTTGTACGGGCTCTACCAATTAAGTTCAAAACTATACCGATAAATCAATAAATCGTTTATCACCAAAAAGAAAATTTCAGTAATCCAGCTAGCTAATAGTGTTTCAAAAAGTTGTCTATCCTGCAGGAGTACGGGCATTTGATTGGTACACTGTAAATTTACTTCTTGTGAAAAAGTAAGGATGACGAAAATTTAATAATCTACCCTCAGCCGCCTGAACTGACTTGACTGACTTACGTACAATTGTATTTCCCCCTCACCAGAGAAATCAAAAGGGATTACCAACGACCAAAAACAAACACAGGTGCAAAACGTATTGCCCTTCATCATATAAGAAGTGCCTGTTCAGGATTATGCAAGGATATTTTTGTTCTTTCCAATCTATAGCACAATTACCAAACACCTGCACCGGTAGATTCCAGTTTACTTTATTATGAAACAAATTACGCCAATGCGGCGTTGGTTTTTGGATTTTCCTCGTTCCCCACGAATCAGGAACGACAATGCTTTTACAACACCCATTTTAAACCCTCCCCTTCGATTATAAATAGCCACGATTCTTTTCCCTAATACACATGAACCATACCGTAGAGGAATGTCCAAAATAGTACGTACGTGCAAAGTCCACCGAGGAACCCGTTGGTCAGGAGGCTTTTCCGAGTGATGAAATATTTTTGCCAGTTGGAACCGGATTTCAGCAGCAGCATACACCAGAGACCGAGAACGGCTAGCACGTAGAACAGGAAACCCAGTATTCCGGTAAGACCGAGAACGCCTAGTTGATAAATGAGAACATCAAAGCGAAATTTGTAGTGATGATTGCCACTTTACGAAAAAGCCAAATTAATCCTAATTTACACTCACCGGCCGTGCTTCCGGACAGAGCAGCCATCGATGTTCGACAGTATTCCACGGCGGATGCATTGTTTCGGATTGCTGTCTCACTGTAAGCGATAAGTTCACCCGTTTTCGATTCACGTGTCTTTACCCGGGAGGTGGCCATTTTTTGGTACGATTTGCTATATGATTTTCAATTAAAATAATGGAACTTTAACACGAAATATCGGAAATGTTTTGATTTCGCAGAAACTTTTCACATTTTCTGTTCACAAGACAGTCAATAAAAATTAAAACGTCAAACTTATCGCCACCCTTTGCTAGGTATTGAATGGTTCACCCTTGAGGAAATGGACACGCTCGTTCAAAGTCCATCAAAAGTGAGTGATGCTATGTTCACTAGACTGATGCAAAATTTGAAATTTTCGCTCCACAGTGCTCAAACGGTTCCAAATTGGGTCCTGATTAGCCTCCCAAAATTCGAACTCATTTAGTGAGGAACTGACTTGGCACAAACCATTTGAAGTTTGTAAGGAAATTACTATGATAAAACCAAACTTTTTGTTCATTAGCTTCTAGCCTTTTAACATATTGTACTGTTGACAAATTCTATTGCTATTTCAAAGTCACGAGTTCAAATCTCACCCCCGGACAAGTCACGAATGACCCAAGAGTGTTAAAGTGACTATAATAAAAAAAAGTTGCTTGAAGCAGAGTGGAAAAAGCAAATCATTAAGTACACAAGTTTTGATTTTGTTTTCTTCTAGAATTTTAAATGAAACTCAAATGTTTCGAGCAAATACCAAACGTTAACATTCATTACATATGATTCGCAGTCCTAACCGCATATGCTTATCCAAAAAGAATTTATGATCGATTGTCAAATCCAATTTGACATGAGATTTTGACATCCAGTTGCTTTTTAATTGGGTCATGGCCCAACCAACGGAAGCCCAACTAAAAAGCAGCCCAAGTATTAAAAGCCCAACCAGCGAATTTGGACTGTAACTCCAAGAGGGATCTCAGCAGCACTCAAAATATTCCACACATTTTTATTGAAGAATTTCCATGTGAAATTTCACATGATTTTCATGTGACCACACATAAAAAGAATCTACTCAGAAGTACACATGAAATTTATGTGTCAAATGAATAGTATGTGTGGTCACACATGGATTTTATGCATACACATATTCAGTATGTGTCCGACACATAAATATCATATGTTGATCACATTGCAAAAATTTATTTGTGGGACACATAAATACAATCTATGAAATTATTAAAGAGCCTGAATTTATAAAGAGACGACATCTTATCCATTTGACAGGTCTTCTGCTCGATTGGAATGACTTTTCCTATGACTTTGACAGGCAATCGATTGTTCCAATTTTGACATGTCGCCTCTTTATAAATTTAGGCTCTTTAGAAATTATCATAGCGAGGGAAAAAAAGGACTATATCTCGGTGAACATTTCAAAAAGTACTATCTACTTTGATCGATGGACTTTCTCTTTTGATAACCACTGCTCTCGTCGCTGCTATGCAAACAGATTTTGTGCTATGTTTACCGCATAGTTGGACAACCCGCATAAACGCGAACCATAACTTGACCTTACCAAAAATGGATAGAAATTGTTTATAATTCTTGCTAAACTTTAACTGAAACTGAACTTTACATTAACATTTGTGTGATAAAGTTTTAACCTTATATATTATGGTTATTTGTAAGTAAACCTTATAAATAATGGGTTGTTAAGAACCATTACCATTCCAAATTCTTGTTTTCTTCATACAATTTTGGTGAAAGAATTATATTGGAACAATTTGATTTATGGTTTGAGAACTTTAATTCTAATGATTATGGTAGCCAGTAAGGTCCATAAATGGTTTTGTATTATCGGTAAACTTTACGTGGAATATATCGCAAATTGGTAGTCAGTAAATTACAGGCAGCCAATTCGCGATATATTCCACATAAAGTTGATCGATGTTACAAAACGATCTATGAACCTTACCGACTATCATAACCATTACAATTTAAGTTCTCAAATCATAAATAAAATGGTTTCAAAATAATTCTTTCATTAAAATTGTATTGAGAAAACCGAGGAGAAAACAAGAATTTGGAATGGTAATGGTTCTTAACAACCCATTATTTGTAAGGTTAACTTCCAAAAAACCATAATACATAAGTTTAAAACTTTGTCACACAAACGTTCATGTAAAGTTCCATAACCACTTCAGCTAAAGTTTAGCAGGGATTATAAACAATTTTTAACCATTTTCGGTAAGGTTAAGTAATGGTTCGCATAGATCAAATAACTGGTCGCAGTGGAAAAATGTACCCAACATAGGAAAAGAAAAAAAATTGTTCGCATTTATGCGGGAAAGGAGGTTCCTATCTAGCTTCCAAATCTTCAAATACAACAGGGAATGGTTTTGCAACTGAGTTATTAACAAAAGAGACAGTCGCTAAAGAGAATTGATCAACACAGATTGGTCAGTTGATGATGGTCAGTTATTGCCTGATGTATCTGTGATTTCCAGGGAGAGCAGTCGTTCGATTCCTTGCCGCAAGCAGGACGTCGTGATCTTCTACCAAAACGCCGGTGGAATGAATTCTGATGTTTAAGAGTACCGCCTAGCTGTATCGGATCGTTGCTACGATATTATTGTCCTGTGCGAAACGTGGCTCGATTATCGAACGCTTTCTAGTCAAGTCTTCGGTCCTGACTACAAGGTCTTTCGTTGCGATCGGAATCCTAACAACAGCCGTAAATCTACTGGTGGAGGTGTCCTTGTAGCTGTCCGTAGCGGGTTGGAGGCAAAGGCCATCGAGAACGATTCATGGAACAATGTGGAGCAGGTTTGGACAGCCATCAATCTGGGTGATAGCACACTATTTCTATGCGCTCTGTACATTCCACCTGATCGAGTCCACGACAATGAACTCATCGATACTCACTGTCGGTCAGTTTTCACAGTTGTCGAAAGTTCCACTCCAGTTGATGAGATATTCATTTTTGGTGACTTCAATCTGCCAGGCGTTTCGTGGAGTCCATCTCATAGCGGATTCCTGTATCCAGATCCTGATAGCTCTACATTTCACGCAGGAGCTATTAGCCTTCTCGACAACTACAGCGCAGCGACGCTTTCTCAAATTAACCATGTAGTTAATGAAAATGGTCGTAGTTTGGACCTCTGCTTCGTGAGCACACAGGACAGGGCTCCATCAATTTCCTCGGCTACTTGTGCACTAACTAAGCTAGTTCCACATCACCCTCCTCTAATTGTCACTGTTGAGGACAAACTCGTGCGTGATTTCGGCGACTATACTGCTAGGGTTTTTTATGACTTCCGTAAAGCTGACCACCGTAGCATCATTGTCTAGCATGGTATGGGAGAACATCCTTGATCCAGATGACGTTGAGGCTGCAGCGCAAACCTTTTCACATGCCTTTGCATATGTCATTGACAGACACGTCCCGAAAAGAACTCACCACAAAGTGTCTCACCCTCCCTGGCAGACGAGAGAGCTACGTAGGTTGAAGTCAATCAAGAGAGCAGCATTGAGAAGATTTACGAAGTATCGCACGCTTCCTCTGAAACTACATTATGTGAGGCTGAATCACATGTACCAGCGAGTCAGTTGTGAATGCTTTGCGAGGGGGGCGACACATCTAAATCTCAATTCTAGATGCTCAAAAAATCTCACACTAGCTAATAAATCATCGAAAAATCTCCTTTCATTTCTCGCATCTACTTGCATCGCGCATCATCTTTTTGCAGGAAATCTTCAAAATCGTGAAAAATCTTCTTTCTATCTACTTAGTGTACGCGCAGCTAGCCACAGCAAAACACAATATTTCCTGCATCGTAGATAGAGTCGTCCCCCTCGATGCTTTGCAAGTTTCCAACGAGGCATCCAGCGCAAACTTAAGCTACACCCGAAATCCTTTTGGAACTACGTGAACGAGCAACGCAGGGAATCCGGCCTCCCATCGTCTATGGATTTCAACGGAGAAGTTGCTGCCACTGTTCAGGATATATGCCACCTTTTTTCCGAAAAGTTTTCCAGTGTATTCACTAATGAGACACTAACTGACGACCATATTAACCTGGCTGCCAGGAACGTTCCAGTAAACGATCAAACGCTGGGTGCAATTGATGTTAATGCAGAAATGATTTCTAAGGCCGCGACTCTGCTCAAGTCATCCTTCAATCCTGGACCTGATGGAGTTCCATCTGTATTTTTGAAGATACATATTGCTAGCTTGTTAATTCCGCTTCTTCGCCTGTTCCGAATGTCTCTCTCAGGTGGCATATTTCCATCTTGCTGGAAATTTGCGCACATGTTTCCCGTCCACAAAAAAGGAAGGAAACGAGCTGTGGATAACTATCGAGGAATTACATCGTTAAGTGCCGTTTCGAAGCTATTCGAGCTAGTGATTATGGAACCGTTGCTGTCCCATTGCAAGCAGTATTTGAGTGCTGATCAACATGGGTTTACTGCCGGCCGCTCTACAACTACCAATCTGCTGTGTCTCACATCGTATATAACCGAAAGCATGTCGGATCGGGTTCAAACGGACGTTATTTATTCAGACCTATCCGCAGCATTCGACAAGTTGAACCATGCTTTTGCGATTGCTAAACTCGGCAGGCTCGGTGTATGCGGTAATCTTCTGAGTTGGTTTCGATCATAGCTTACCGGTCGGCAACTAAAAGTTGCCATAGGAGATTGCAGATCAGCTAGCTTCTTCGCCACATCAGGTATACCTCAGGGAAGCCACATGGGACCGTTCATTTTTATACTGTACTTCAACGACGTGCATCTGGTCATCGAAGCTCCTCGGTTATCATATGCAGATGACCTCAAAACCTTCCTACGAATCTGCTTCATTGCTGACTGTCACTTTCTTCAACGTCAACTGAATGTATTCGCTAGTTGGTGCAGGTTAAACAGAATGGTAGTGAACCCAGTCAAATGCTCCGCTATTACGTTCTCACGAAAACATCAACCGATAATATTTAGCTATGATCTGCTTGGCTCGACAATCGAACGCGTGAATCAAGTGAAAGACTTGGGTGTGATCTTGGATTCGCAGCTTTCATTCAAGCAACACATTGCATATGTTGTTGATAAGGCGTCAAGAACTTTAGGGTTCATTTTCAGGATAGCTAAAAACTTCACTGACATCTACTGTCTAAAATCTCTCTATTGTTCGCTTGTTCGATCGACGCTTGAGTATTGTTCAGCGGTTTGGAACCCAAACTACAACAACGGTGCCGAGAGAATTGAATCTGTTCAACGTCGCTTTCTTCGTTTTGCGTTGCGTAGATAGCCTTGGAATGATCCGTTTCGATTACCAAGTTACGAAAGCCGTTGTCATCTTATCGACCTAGAACTTCTCCGGACTAGAAGAGACACAAGCAGAGCCCTAACCGTGGCCGATATCCTACAAGGAAGGACAGATTGTGAGGCTATCCTGAGGCAAATTGACCTGAATGTTCAACCCCGACCGCTTCGTAATAACCTTATGCTAAGACCATAGAGGTAACTCTAAGACCACTGGGTCCCGAAGAAAATCATTATTATTTTTGGCTCACTCAGTACCAGAACAACGGTCCCAAGCAGTCCCAAGCTATTTCACTCACCCCTGCATGTTCTGCATGAATCCACACACCCCTGATGTTATCTGTCAAACTTTCATAGCAAATCAAAACAAACATAGTGTAGTAATAGAATTTCAACTAGAATAGGGTACGTTAATCGTTTGCTTGGGACCAATAGGCTACTAAAGTGGTGAGCCAATTTAAAATCGTTAGTTTCGTATTGATTGTTGCTAAGACTGCCTCTACGTCGCACAAATTATGGAGCGTACGGTACGATTTGCGGACTGCAGAGAACATTCAACAGAGTTGCATCTGTTTTCGACTTTCATCTCTTCCGTGATGCGCTTCGTCGAAAGTTTTCTTCTGTTTTTCGCCGGCAGGAGTTAAGATTTTGACTATAAGATATACGTTTTTTAATGTTTTTTTATGTTATGACCATGCTTGAATGTATTTTTTTTACCATAGTTGATAAGGTTTAAATCATTGGGGCTTCATCCAGCCTGTTGATGTAAAATAACAATAAAAAATAAACAGATAGGACCTTTTGAAATGTTTATCTAGATATTAATTTTATGGCTCGGACAATGGTGAACAGGTCGACATCTAATATTAACGCCCACCCTCCTATCAGCTGAGAGCTGTCACGTATTTTTGTAAAATTGAAAACAATAACAAATACAACACTACCGGAATCGGACCTATTTTGGCCAAGTTTTGACGATATTATTAAATTTTCACGTTTTTTGCAAGTTGTGTTTAGATTGTTTATTCAACTCTTCGGGGTACATATAAAGTTTGTGATTCAATCTTTTTTCTGGGGTGGCCAAAACTGGTGCACTTACCCTAAACGAAACAAAACTTACAGCAGCTACTGCAGTCTTCAGGTACGTATCCGTGTTCCAGTTAATAGTAGAAAATCGTGCTAAAAAGTTGGGTTTTGTGGAAAATTTCCTTCTGCAGTGATTCTTTTATCGTTACTCGATGGCGCACATTCAGTACACCGACGGTCTAGTGCGAGAATATGTGCTGTTCCGTGGATTTTCCAATACGCTCAAGTCGTTCGACGCTGAGCTGAAGAACGACAAAGACAAGAGCTTTCGGGTGGATAAAATCATCGACCATCTGATGCAACTGATTCAGGCACACGATCTGCAGGGATTGCGCGATCTGTGGGCTCACTTAAACAGCCATTTGTTTCGAAATTTGGAACATAGCTACACTGCGGGTGAGTGAAAGGAAGCAATATGCTGAATCAAATTGACTTGAATTGCTTTTGCAGCTGTAAATAAGTTGGAACAATCGATCTTGAAGTTCTACTTGATCATTGCGTACATGTCAAACAAGCCTGATAAAATCAACGAATTCTTCTCGAAGCTAGCTCCAGAGCTGGTATCGCAGAGTGAGTGGAAAGAGTGGTTCTGTAAGTAGCATGAGTACCTTTTGATTGATTTTTGAATAAATACCTAATAATATGTCTTATTGTAGTCTTTCCATTCTGCAAAACTCCCGAGGATCATTCCGCGTTCGCCGTCTGCTTCACCAAGCAATGGCAGGACACGTTGCTGATTTCCTTACACAATTTTCTTTCCACCATTTACCAATGTATGCCTCAGCCAACTATTTCCAAGGTGGAAACGGAAAGTAGTCTGCTCCGAAAGCTGCAGGAGGAAAATACCCAACTTCGTACTAAACTGCAGAGCATCCAACAGCAGACAGCATCCGCAGCGGCGGCGGCAGCAGCAGCAGCAGCGGCTGGCACCTCCCATCAGTCCCGTTTAACTTCATTCAATGATCAAAAGTACACCCTGGATGGCAAAACGCGCTACTCTACGCGATCAGCCGGAAATGCCCAGTCCCTGAACGATATCATTCCGTTTGACATTCCGCCTCCGGCACATATTGTAGACGATTTCTACATCATCGCGCAGGAATCGAACAACATAGGTAATGCGGCCGAATCGCAAGCTCGTGGACTCAAATCGCTGATTAGGAACATCAGTTCCGGTGGTAGTCCCGTGCTGGGTAGGAAGGACACTGCATCCGATCGGAACAAGCGCCGGTCGGGAAGTGTGGGAAGCCGGAGCAACTGGATCCATGGCTAGGCGTAAAGAGGGAGGTATGTGAAAAAGTCTTGATTTTTTTTTTTATGTTACCATATGCTACTCAAATATAGGATCTCAGCTTAAAACTTAGCGATGGGAGTTTTTGTTTCGAATGGGACAAAAGAAAGAAATCCACTCAAAGCGAAAGCGTCGCTTTTTCAATGAATAATTTATTCAACGTCACGTTACATTGACGAATAGTGAAGCAGCTAGGTAAATAATTTATAGGTTTGACCGATGCGATAAGCTTTTGTTTTTTTCTTTTCTTTGCTAAGGCCGCCTAATATTTCCGTTTTGGGCACCATTTTTGCCATTGCACACTGAGAATAATTTCCACTGCTACAACTGAGATTCGTTTCAATACGATGTTCAAATCAATTCGAACTGTTTATCGGGATTATTGTAACTAAAATGCTGTTTCCTTCTAATATCCTGATGTCTGATTAGTCAAAAGAAAATAACACATTAATAATAAAAGGTGCGCGTTACTGCGTTGTTTGTGCAACATGGATACAATGTTGTTTTCACATCATTAGTAGAGTATATCAATAAAACTATGTATCGATCCTAATTTAAAACGGGTAAAACGTTCGTATTCGACACCATCATGCATGATTACATATCCGGTAAAGGGTAGATTACTTCATTCGTCCGTTTAGGCTTCTCCGAGTAGAGCACAGAGAGCGTGCTTGTAGTCGCCGGAGCACTCACCCTAGAAGAAAAAAATGAATTTAGTATTATTTACTGTAAAACGCTATTACTGGATAGGGCAAATATTAAAAATATTAATGGTGTTAGTGTGCATTGAACTGACATTGTTTGGTGTATTATAGCAGTCATTCCACTGCAGTTTCAATGGTGTACATCGATCTAACGTCCAGCAACAGTAGGGAAAGGAAGCTAATAAAACCAGCAGAACAGATCGAACTTCTAACAGTGGTGTTGGTTGTTTTCGCAAAATTGAAGTGGTTCTTTTTCTTCATCGCGATTCGTAATGTGCTGGTACCATAGAAACAAGACAAGACATCTTCATCAAGTTCGCCAACTGCAAGGTATTCAGCATCATCGACATGCAAGCTCCTCGCGATCAATACCCACCGGGCATCTACAAAGTCAGTGAAAGCCGTTGACACCATATTGGCTGATCTCAAGCACACTTGCGGTTACATCGATTACATCGTAGTCGGCGGAGAAGATGAGGAACAGCATTGGCGGAATCTGAACGCACTTTTCCAGCGTCTGCAAGAGTTCGGGTTCACAGTCCGATTCGAGAAGTGCTCCTTCGGATGTCAGCAGATTAAATATCTTGGACACTTACTCGACCACCATGGAATTCGTCCCAATCCAGCCAAGATCAAAGCCATCCGGCACCCACGGACGAGTCAGGAGTTCGGTCCAAGGTTGCAAAGACTCATTTCAGCTAAAATAATGTTTTTCGGAATAATAAAACCAAAAGATGGTATGATGGCATGTTTTACTTGTAACTTACAAGAAGAGGTTACAAAGTATGCGTTGGAAACATAAAACCTGTAAATTTTGCTTTCTATGAGTCACAATCAGCGATTTGCTGATCGCTGAGTGAGTGAGTGAGTGAGTGAGTGAGTATGTGAAAAATCGCTGATTGTTACTCTCATGAAGTGAAATAAACAGGTTTAATATGTCAAACACATTCTTTGCAACCTCTTCTTGTATCCTACCAATTCAAAATTTGATCATGGCATCTAAGTATTTCATAATTTAGAAAAACATTGTTTTAGCTGAAATGAGTCTTTGCAACCTTGGTTCGGTCGTTTCCCGGACCCGTAAACCTCTACGGGAAATTCGTACCGAATATGCGAGCTTTGCGCTACCCACTGGACGAAGTGCTGCAGACGGGAGTCAAATTCGCTTGGACAGCGGAGTATCAGAGGGCGTTCGACAAGTTCAAAACCATTTTGTCGTCGGACTTGCTCCTAACCCATTACAATCCCAAGCAAGAGATCATCGTTTCGGCCGATGTGTCAATCGGTCTGGGAGCGACCATGAGTCACCGTTTTCCCGATGGTACAATCAAAGTCGTCCAGCATGCTGCGAAAGCCTTGGCCCCCGCCGAGCGTAACTACAGCCAATCGTGAAGGATTGGCTATCATCTAAGCGGGAACGAAGTTCCACCATAGAGGTAACTCTAAGACCAGAAGGTTCCGAAGAAATCTGCTCAACCTCTGCTCGGTCCCAAGTTAATCAACATAGAAAAATCCACGAGCCCTCCATTTTATCTGTCAAATATTCATAGCGAATCAAAACAAACATAGTGTAGTACTAGATTTTCGACTGGAATTGGGTACGTTAATCGATTTGCTTGGGATCAATAGGCTAGTCAAGTAGTGAGCCAATTTAAAACCGTTAGTTTCCACCGGTTTGTTACACTGCATGATATTCGGACGCAAGTTCCTCCTCCAAACCGACCATCAACCACTACTTCGAATGTTCGGGAGCAAGAAGGGCATTCCAGTGTATACTGCCAATCGTCTGCAACGCTCGGCCCTGACGCTGTTGATGTACGACTTCGTCAAGGAGTACGTGGCCACGGTCAAATTTGGTCACGCTTATATCCTTTCTCGTCTCATTAACCACCATGCGAAACCGCTTCCGTCACCTTGGAGAGTGACATGCGGTCAGTAGTGTATGATTCTTTTATTGTGTTTCCTTTGAGTTTTGACACAGTACAACAAAGCACCAAGACGGATCCGGTGCTCAAGAAGGTCTATCGGTACGTCCAGGAAGGCTAGCCAAATTCCCTGGTCAGCGACGCAGATCGAGAACTTCTTTGTTTCCACCATCGCCGTGAATCACCAACAGTGCAAGGCTGCATTCTCTTCGGCGAAAGGCTTGTCATTCTTTCTCTTCTACGCAAGCGATGCCTCAATGAACTACACCGGGGGCACCCCGGTATTCAGCGGATAAAGGCACTCTCCCGCAGCTACGTTTATTGGCCATCGCTCGTCAGCGAGATTGCCGAGTACGTGAAAGCGTGCTCACCATGCGCCTTGACAGCAAAGTCACCAGCAGCAGCGATATGCTGCTCCAATCGACCAGCACTTGAACTACGCTGGTCCCATCGACGACGACTACTATCTGCTCACCGTGGAAGTCATCCGCACACGTCGCAACGATCAGCATCCTCCGCAGTGTTTTCAAATGCCTGGGGATGCCGGAAATGTTGGTGTCAGACAACGCTACCCAATTCACAAGCTTGGAATACGCTCAGTTCTGCAAGACGAATGAAATCGACCACGTAATAACTGCACCGTTTCAACCACAATCAAACGGCCAAGCAGAGCGATTTATCGACACGTTCAAGCAAGGAGCTTAAAGACGGGATAAGTTGAACCGTTGAAGCCTTGGATACGTTCTTGGTGGCCTACAGAAGCACACCTAATCGGTCAGCGCCAGAAGGTCTATCACCGTCGGAGATCATGTTTGGACGACGCTTGCGCCTGTCTCGAACTGCTATGTGCATCACCAGAACTTCCACCGCCGTCACCGGTTGACCAGAAGAAGTCCAGTATGAGGTCCTTCAGTCCAAGTGATCTCGTCTACACCAAGAACGCCGAGAACGCTAATTTTACCACATAGTTTCATGAAGGAGGTTCTTATATAGCATTCAAAACGTCAAATACAAAAGGGAAAGGTTTTGCAGCTGAATTATTAACGAAAGAGAAAGTCGATGAAGAGAATCGATCAATGCAGATAGGACCTTTTGAAATGTTTATCCATCCACTAGCGGTCCTACGTCAAGCTTCCGTTCGTGCCCCTAGGCACAGACCCTTCTACTTTTTTTTATAAATTGCAGTTGCGCCTAAATGTAGGCATTTTTTTTATATCACTGATAATTTCACAGAAAATCATAAATTTCTAACATTTAAACAAAAAATAGATTGATTGACACTTAGTTCAATGACAAATGTTGCTTTCAAGTTAAGAACAACAATTTTTCCAACCCCAGGGTATGTTGTGGTATGTTTGAAAACTGATATTGAATACTATTGAACGTCAATTAAATAAAATTGAAATTATATTTTTTTTGTAAAGAGAAACTCGTCAAAGCTGCCATTGGTGTTTCATAGTAAAATGCTATCAACAACATGTTTCTTGATCAGCGAATCCAAACACATAAAGCAACTTACGATACAGACAAAACGGTTGCTAAAGCTCGATTCAAAGTAAATCTGGACGCACGGTTTAATACACCACCGCGCCCCTGGTGGTTGGAACAAAAAAACGTTTGACAGGCATTTTTTGATGTTTCATTGACGAAGAAATTGGTGAAAAGTTTTTCTCGATTGATCGACGCATCCCGAAATTACGGATCATGGAAATGTGATGACGAAACATATGTCAAAATGGATTATAAACAAATCCCCGGACGAAAATTTTACCTGGCAACTGGTCGTGGGGATGTCCCTTCCAGGTATAAATTTGTTTTTGCTGATAAGTTTGCTCGGAAACTAATGATTTGGCAAGGAATCTGCAGTTGTGGCCTTAAAACCAAGGTTTTCATCACATCTCACACAATGACGTCGAAGGTTTACATTAAAGAGTGTCTGAAAAAGTGGATTTTACCCTTCATTCGGTAACACAAGACCAACGTTATGTTTTGGCCGGATCTAGCCAGTTACCACTACTCTAAGGAGGTACTAGAATGGTATGCTACAAACAATGATAATTTCGTCGCCAAAGAGATTAATCCTCCGAGTTGCCCTGAGTTCAGACCGATCGAAAAATATTGGCCAATTGTCAAGCGAAAACTTTGAGGATGCGGTAAAGAAGTGACAAATGCACAACAAATGAGTTTAAAGTGGAATAAGTTCGCCGGTACAGTGTCACCATAGAGGTAACTCTAAGACCACTGGGTCCCGAAGAAAATCATTATTATTTTTGCTCATTCAGTACCAGAACAACGGTCCCAAGCAGTCCCAAGCTATTTCACTCACCCCTGCATGTTCTGCATGAATCCACACACCCCTGATGTTATCTGTCAAACTTTCATAGCGAATCAAAACAAACATAGTGTAGTAATAGAATTTCAACTAGAATAGGGTACGTTAATCGTTTGCTTGGGACCAATAGGCTACTAAAGTGGTGAGCCAATTTAAAATCGTTAGTTTCGTATTGATTGTTGGTGTCACCAGCGACTGTGCAGATCATGATGGCATCGATCACAAGTAAAGTGCGACAGTTCGTTCGAAACGGTGAAATGTAATAACTTGTTATGTATGTATGTTATGAAGGCTGAATAAATACCCTTTCGTTTGACGTTTTTAACAACCGTGTATGTTGTTCAATTCTTGAGTTATGATCACTTGAATGCGTCCAAATTTACTTTGAATCGGGCTTTATTCGATATGTTAGGTTACCCGAAAAAAGGTACTGCAATCTTCCGAAGAGCGCGGTAGGCAACAAGCTCTACCCACCGCTTTTGTTCGGCTATTTTCTAATCAATCGATCTGAGTTGTACACGGTAAGAAAAAAGTACCCAAAAGTAAGTTCTTTTCACTCATCTCGCCTATAGTGGACCCAAAAGTAGGTAAAACGGGTCAAACCCGACCAACCATTCGTGAAACTTCTTCAAAGTTCTTTATACAAACATAAAAATTATGTGTCGGTAATTCTTTACTTTCAGGTTTCTTTGATTTCGATGAATATATTTAAAAACCTTTATTGATTGATACT